CGCGGCGACCGCCCCGGTGGCCGAGAGGAGGAGCTTATTTAGCCAGGGGTGCGGGGGGTGGGGACGCTTTTCTGGTTTTCTGGGCTTTCCTCGCGTTAACCCCTTCGTCTTCCTGCGCCCCAGGCGCGTCCCCAGGCTAGCGAGGGAGGACCGGCAAATGATCCGCAGGGTCTCCTACTCCAGCTCTTCTCCCGGGCTCACCGGATCAGCCTCTGGGCTGGCATACAAAAACCTCCCTGAAGTGGAGAGGACAATCGACTGGAGGGGTGGGTTTCAATCAGCCACCAACTACTGGGCGGTTGCTTAAGCAAGACGCTGCCCGAAACATTATCTCACGTGGCCCTGATGGAGCAGCATGGTGCTAGTGCACATCAGTACCCCCACTGCACACAGGAGGGAACTGAGCTTCCGCGCAGTCACTCAGGCTTTGAGCCAAAAGCTGTTTCTAAGCCTTTGGCAAACGTGTGTTCTCTCAATTGACTTATCTATGAGACAGAGGAAAGAAAGTAGTTATTTCTTCCAATGGTATCAGACTCTAAATTTCAGCGGGCTACCCAAATCTGGTGCCCTCTCTTGTAACCCTGCAGTATTAATTTGCAGTGAATGGAATCCAACACGTGGCCCAACTCTTAACAGTAGATCAACAGCAAGAGGCAAGAGAGAAAGGAGTTGCCCACCCTTCACAAAACCAGCTGATAAGAAAGAGTCAGTGTCTCTGAGGCTTTTATACTGACCCGGCCACAAAGGGGAAAAACATGGGTGGAAACTTGTCCTTTTCCTCCCATACCCTTGGAACTAATGTTGCATTTGCAGGGATGGTCTTGACATTTATTTAGATGATGTCTTTCTCCAGGGACTGGTCTCTGCTGACAACATGTCCAAAGTACTTAAGACAAAGTCTCACCATCCTTGCCTCTAAAGAGCACTTCTTCCAAGACAGATTGGTTTGTCCTTTTAGCAGTCCTTGGTATTTTCAATATTCTCCGCCAGCATCACAATTCAAATGCATCGATTTGTTTTCCGTCTTCCTAATTCAGCATCCATACTCATACTGAAGCAGGTCATGTTTTCCATTCCACAGGGGACGTGTGAGAGCGACAGGGAGCATCTTGTGAAAATGCTGCGCTAGGCTGTTCCATTACCTGTGGTGCATCTTTGCCCTTACTTTTCTGAACACAGAAAGGTGAACATCTGCCCCTAAATACTTTTCTCAGGATGTTCACGGGGGATTTAACGAAATGATATACACAACATCTGTGTACAAGATAAAGTGATCCACAAACGAGTTTTCATAACTTAGGTGCAGAGTCTGAGTGTAGGCGACACAGAGCTTCTCTTTCATAATGCCTTTCTTTAAGCTTCACGTTTCAGGATGTAGGAAAACCACTTGTGAGCACCCTGAAGGCAACACTTATTAAGGAAGAAAGGCTAGATGATGTTTCACTTAGGAGCTGAAGTAGCCACTTGCCAAGCCAACAGCGCTGAATCAAACATTTTGGTGTTTTAATCCAGGTTGGCTCTGTCCCTTTCGGTTGAGTTACACTCAGAGTTTTGTCTTCCCAGAGGACACTGAATCTTTACTTCATTCTTGGTACTAATCCTCCTCTGTAGATGTGTGGGCTGTCACTGGTTTCTTTTTCGTTCTTTCTTCAGATGCGATGTCAGCGCTTCTCCCCTTTCAGACAGGCCCCTTTCACAGATTTCCAAGTCTGGCAGCCAAGAGCATGCACTCTCTTTACACCTTCTTTCAAGTGATGGTCTCTTACAAGTCTTCAGACACAACTTAAGGCTGTTTATTTATAAGATTCCTTTCATCTTTAGATTTCTCTCAACCCCAAAGGGTGGGACCTAAATCTTAGCATACTCATATACAGAATAAATGGAATGTCAAAGATCCATATGTAAACATCTTTTTCTTTGTTTCCAAATAATGGGAGTTTGGAGTTAGACAGGACCAAGTTCAAATTGTGGTCCTGGCACTTGCTAAGTACATTCATGTTCTTAAGCCTCAGTTTCCTCAGCTGGAAAATGGGAATGGTCATAAGCATTTTCAAGGAATTTGTGAGAATTGCATGAGATAACAGCCAAAGAACCAACTTTTCTCAGCATTTCAATAGAGAACAGGCCAGTTCCTCAAAACCCTTGCTCCCAACAAACTAACTCATTTTCAAGTGCAGAAGAAAAGCTCTATTTTCAGACTGTAGGAATTTAGAAAAGGGTAGTGTAATAGAGGAAATCCTGAAATTAGAATCAGAGAACAGTCTGTAGTCTACTCTTGCATTTCATTATCTGAGTGATTAGAGACAAGTCTTTTAACCCCTCTAGACCTCCATGTTCCCAACCATAAAATGGGAATAACACTGTAAGCCTATTTGATAGGGCTACTGTTAAAATCAATAAGATACTGGAAATGGCACCTCCTTGTCAACCATAAAACAGTATATACTAATATAAAGTTTTATCAGCTTTAAAGCACTTTAGTTTGATTCACAGAATTTATCACTACACACAGAATCCATCACTTATTCATTCAACTGAAATATATTGACACTGACACAAATATTAAGATTATGCTTGTACTAGGACATGATCCTTATCCTTTACAGTGAAGAGAGAGGCATGCAACATAGTTGATCCAGTTAAAACAGGGAGGTGGCACATGTCTCAATGGCAGTATGTTAAAGGGATAAGAGTTGACAGACTAAAAGGACCCTTAAGTATGCCCCCTAAGTGTAAGGGAAGCCTAGAAAGACAGCACCTGAGCTACACCTTAAATGAGGCGTTGGCGTATAAACAAGCAGTATCTCTGGCAGCGGGAACAGCCAAGCTAAGACATAGTCCTATGAAAGCTAGGGTCTATTTGGTAAAGTACACATAGTAAGACAAGAACAGCCTGTGCTTCAAATAGCTCTATGCCCGATACTCAGATCTTTAGAGCTGCCACCAACTAACCAAACTATGCATGGAAACCCCACCTCATGATCTCAATTGCTTCCCCCCTCCCATGCCCCTGAATCTGGATGAAATCCCATGCCTCAGCAAAGTCACTGGTGAGCTCCTGCCAAGCCCATCAGCCCCTCCTCCTATTCCCTGAGTGAGCGTGCTCACTTGAGTGCCTTTGACATCCATGCATTTCACTGCCCATGGGGCAGAGGGACCAGCTTCAGCCTACCCTGGAGGCTCTCTGCAGAGCTCCAAACTGGAGCACTTGTGCCCCAGTGGTGCCTAATGCTGAGCAAGTGGGATTAGTCTCCTTGGGAACCAAGCCCCCCACACCCCCAGGGGATCAAGAGCTGAACTCACCCCAAACCGTTTGGGAGAATTGAGATTTCATATTGTTCTTTTACACTTGGATTTCAGGACATTACTTAGACAAAAGCCCACCTGAGAGCTGCCTCCTTTCTTGTGGGTAAATATAGCAGCGGGATCAAAAGCTGACTGACTTGTTTTGTTTTCCTCTTTGTAACTTTAATCATATTCCCGGCAGGAAAAGCTTAGTCCTCTGAGATGGCAGGAATGCACAATCATAAAGGGAGAAATAATTGTATGTCTTTTCTCTCTCTCTTCCCATACCAATTTCCTGCCACTGGTTTTGAAATTTCGAACAAAACAAATTAACTCCTTGGTGTTATTTATAAAGTATCCACATTATAAAATGCTACGATATGAATTGTGCATTTACCTTCAGATATTTTTGGTTTGCTTTCACGTTCGTTTCCCTTGCAAACCAGATCTATGAACCCTAGGTTTTAATTCCGATCTTAAATTATTGGTTTAACCAAAAATTGTTCCATAATTATATTTGGAGGGCTATAGAAGGAAAGGGAGAAATACTCCACAGATGGAGAAGGTTTGTGCGTTCTGTAAGCCAAGGAGTTTATAGGGCAAGTTGTTTTTGAAGGGTGATATTTATGAAAGATGTAAAGAAGAGAAGCAGAAGTGGACAGGGGCAGCATTGAGAGCACAAAGCAGTAGGACACCTGTAAAGAGAGAGAAAGGAAGACGCAGAATCAGCCCAGGAGAGACCCCGAGAGTGACACAGCTTTGACCGAGTCTCTGAGGCCCCGTGGAGGACACTGAAGCAAAGCTGGGCCTTGAAAGAAGCACCATCGAATCAAGTCTGACTCATACACTCCCTGCCATCAAGTTTATGTGGATTCATAGTGACCCAAGGACAGAATAGAACTCCCCTTAGGGAGTTCCAAGGCTTTAAATCTTTGAAAGAGTAAACAGCCTCATCTTTCTCCTGTAGAGCAACTAGTACATTTGAACCACTGACCTTGCGGTTAACAACGGAAAGCATAACCCATTATGCCAATAGCAATCCCCACAGGCAGAATAAATCATGGGGTTTCCAACACTACACATCTTGCAGAGAGGAGACTGGCACATCATTCTCCTGCAGAGCAGCCGGAAGATTCCACCTGTGACCTTTTGGTTAGCAGCTGAGTACTTTAACCACTGTGCCACCAGGGCTCTCTAAAGGAGAAGAAGCTAGGCCCAAATGACTAGACTTTTTTTTATCATCACCTTGATCATTCATTGGATAGGGCCACCCTCAGAAGACATGGCCTCAGCTTGGAAGAGCAGGTGAACTTGAAGGAATTAGCAGCTGGAGGGTGTCAAGTAAACATACTCCTTAAAGTTTGTGTTAGTCTGGGTTGACTAGAGAAACAAATTCATAGAGACTCGTGTGAATAAGAAAGAGGTTTATATACATAGCTATTGAATACTGAGAAAACATCCCAGCCCAGTCCAGATCAAGTCCATAAGTCCGATACTAGCCCTTATGTCCAATACCAATCTATAAAATCCTCTGCAGACTCACAAAACACATGCAACGATGCCAAATGCAGGAAGATCACAGGCCAGTGGGTTGGAAGTCTTCTGGATCCTGTTGAAAGCGTCTCAGCGCTGGCAGGGGTCCCTAAGTGGCTTCTCTAGCTCCAGAGGTCTGGCTGCATCAGGGTAGGTCCATGTGGCTTCTCCAGCTCCCAGGACGTAGTGTCATGTGTCTGGTCAGTAGAGCATCTCTCAGGGAGGGAGTCTTGTCAGTAGAGAGTCTCCAAGGAAGTGAGCAGAGAGAAAATGTCTCCCACCTCCAAGGAGGAAAACTACAGAGGTTCCCAGTATTCTCAGGAAAGGGCCATGCCCACACAGAGTCCTCACTGGTTAGATCTTGATTGACAGGCCAGACTCCACCCCTTCACTCATAATTCTCTCAAGTCCCAAACTGACACCAGGCTATGTAAGTACCACAAAGTTAGATAATGAATCTCTTTTTCCCCCCTACCTCCACCACCCCCCCTTCTCTTATTGAAGACAGTTCTCAACTGTGCATTTCCATATCTGACACA